AGGTACACACACACACACCGTCTGCGGTGGACCACGGCTGCGGTTAGTCCATGTAAACATTTATAAAAAAAGCACATACTTTTAAAAGACCTAAAATGTTCAAAACTCAAGAAATTGTGTTTTTCAAGGATGGTACAGTGGTGGTATGAGTAAAGCTTTCTGTCAAACACCTTGATAGCTCTCTTGTACAGCTGTTCTATTGGTTTCAGGTTTGTGGCACAAGCAAACGACCAGTTTGTCAAACAGTATTCAATGTGGGATAGAATCATGCAGTGGAGGTATGACTTTGCAGCAGCCGTTTAAAACACATTGGATCCTTCGATTTTGACTGGTCGTTTACTGAACATCATGCATACTGTTTTTTTTTGCATTTAACTGTAAGCAAATGTTGTTCAGCCAGTGTTGAACCTTGCCAGTGTTGAACCTTTGAGAGACAGGATGAGATAATTTCAGTGTTTTTCCCTTGTACAAAGATGACCGCATCATTGGCATACATTTGCACATTCAACTCAGGACATACATTAGGCAAGTCATTAATGCAAAGAGAAAACAGTAATGGTCCAAGAATGGAACCTTGTGGAACCCCCACAGTTTTCTGTTCGATAAGTAAGACTTTAACCAATGTATCGAAACTGCAGAGAAATGGAAATGAGTCAGCTCTGTAGGAGAACTTGGTGGTCAACAGTATCAAAAGCCTTCCTGAGATCAAGGAAGACAGCACCTACATATGGGCTTGTGTCCAACATACATTTAACCTTTTCCACAAAGACACAGTTAGCTGTCTCAGTGGAGTGGTGAGCACGGAAACCAAACAGCATTGGGTGGAATGGAGCGAAACCTTTGTCTAAATGTTTGGTGATTAGTTTTGACTCGCTACCTTAGAGACACAGGGAAGGATGCTGATTGGTTTGTAATTAGACATCATTGCCTTATCCCCAGATTTAAAAATCGGTGTCACCATGGCCACCTTCCAGGATGATGGAACTTCCCTCGTGCTGATAGATTAATTCACTAGCATAGCAGTTGGTTTTATTAGACCGTCAATATTTGATATCGATATATATTGATATTTAAGAGGACAATCTGTTGATTTGTGCCCGGTACATTATTATTATTTGCACACATAACGGCAACAAGTCCTCCAGGATAAAAACAAACTGGATTTTACTTTATATGTTAGCCTCACTTAGCTGAACTCTTGCACGTAGTGTTCTGCTCATGCTCCGGAGTATTCATTCTGCTCCGTCCCCACACAGCTAAATCCTTCTCCAAGACCCCCTCCCCCAGCCACAGTGTGTCAGGGGGCTTCTCCAAGAGCGGCTCTTCCTCCAGCAGCTACGACTACAGCCAGGACGCCGAGGCGGCCCACATGGCAGCCACCGCCATCCTGAACCTGTCCACCCGCTGCTGGGAGAGGCCCGAGACCCTCAGTGCCCCCCGGGAGCCCTGCAGCAAGGTACACACACACACACACACACACACACACACACACACACACACACACACACACACACACACACACACACACACACACACACACACACACACACACCCTGCTGACCCTCCCTCCACCCTGCAGGAGTCCCACATTGAAGTGGATGAGAACGGCACTTTGGACCTCAGCATGAAGAGGACCAACAGGGATGGCGTGCAGCCTCCAGAGCCTTCATCTTCCTCGTCGTCATCCTCTCAACACATCGGAGCCCCCCTTTCTCAGGGCCACACCCAGGCAGAATGGGAGGGGCCGCTGGACTTCACCAAACCAAGTGGAGTCAAAGAGGAAGACCAGGAAGAGGTAAAGCTTGCAGACATCAAACACTGTGAGGAAATGCAGCCAGATCAGAGGAGATGAACCTGATCTACTTTTCTTCAGGTGGAGTATATGGCTCCTTCATACACATCATCTGATGGAGAGGAAGAGGACCCGGAGAACCTGGAGGACAGGAAGTACCCTGGTGAGGTCACCACCGGCAGCTTCAAGGTCAAGTTTCAGCCCAAAGACAGCAAAAAAGAAGTTCTTTTGTAAGTCACAACTTTAGCACTACATCCATAACTTCTCTCCACTGCACTTCTGATTGAATGTTGTGTTAGCTGATTCCAATAAGATACTTTCTTGGCTCAATGAGATGTCAGGAACATTCATATTAAAACGAGCACCATGTAAAGGGAGTCTAATGAGCCTCACCTTTGGTCTGAGGATGTGAACCTGGTTAGAGTTCAGAAGTGCCACTCACCACGGAGGATTGTGATAGACTGAGAAACCTGTTCATGAGTCCATCAAACACACCCTATCCAGTATTGCTCTCTAAACGTTATGCTTTGATCATGTCACAAAGAGTTACTGTTGAGATCTGGTCTGTGTAGCAGGTGTGATGCTCCTGGTCAGCTGATAAAGGACAGATGCACATATTACAACTTGGACCAAATGATTGATCATGAAAGTGTTCTCAAAGCTGGTAAAGGTGCAGCTAGTTTGAATGACTTTGTATACTGCAGGGTAGCTTGTGAATTTACTCCAGGTGGAACTAAAGTCTGATTTAACACCTGGTTATATTTCACATCATTCATCCACATCTGTAAAGTAACTAAAGGTATTAAATACATGTAGTGGAGTAGAAGTACACCATGTACCTCTGAATTGTAGTAGAGTAGAAGTACACAGTAGCATACAATGGAAATCCTCAAGTAAAGTGCAAATATCTCAAAATTGTAATTAAGTACAGTACTTGAGTACATGTACTTAGTTACTTTACACTTCTGACGTCTTGGGTTGTTAGCTGATGTCTCACATCTATCCCATCACTGCCGCCGCTAAGACATTTCAGAACAAGTGCAGAGCATTACTGACGGCTAATCCTTAAAAACACATCAGAAGTACACTATAGTGTTTTGTTCAGTGTGAGCCCCCTGTTCTGATCTGAGTGTGTCTCTCCGCAGATGTCCCACCCCCGGCTGTGACGGCAGTGGACACATCACTGGAAACTACGCATCACATCGCAGGTAAGAGCTGCTTTTCACTTTACAGTCGTTAGTGGGACAGTTTGTTTCATTTATCAATCCAACAGGTTTGATGATTTTGACTGGAATCATTCATAGAGAAATGATGAGTTCTTGGTCCATTTGATCGTCATTTGCCAGTTTGTTGATTTGTTTTGAAACACTGGAAAATAATGACAAAGTTACAAGCTCCACTAAATCCTTCTCCATGGAATGACTCAACACATCTGAATCAGCCTGTTGCAGGACACAGAGCTTGAATAAGGCCAGTACTCACTCTAAATGTCAGGGTATCTTAGGTGTAGTTACTTTTGGGTCAAAAATGATTTTCCTAATGTGCAGCTGTGTCAAGTACAATATGTTGGAAGTTGGAAAGCTGGTGGATAAGAGCATTATTTTGTGCCGGAGCTCTGCAGCCTCGCTCCATGCACCGAGGCTGGCAGCTGGTACAGATATGATATATCATCTATACACATTAATTTCTACTTGCATTTCATATTGCAAATAGATCAGCAACATTCATAATTCTTGAAATTGCTTGTGCCCCCAAATTCTGCATGTACGGGATTAAGGTTGTGAGTCAAGTAAAACAAGCACTGGCACTCACCCCCCCTCACAATACATGAGGAGCATTTTAGTATACATATTCTTCCAAAATGTATTTTGGCGCAAGTCTTTTCTAAGTATGAATTTCTGCAACAATGCATTTTTTACTTTGTTTAATTTTAATAAGAGCCAAGTAGTATGACTGGAGTCCAGTCGAATAGTCTACTACTGAAATGAATTTGAAGATGTTTCACCTCCATGCTAATGTGGCCTCTTCAGTTCTAATGAGATGTGCACACACCCTCACACTCATTAGAACTAAAGAGCCTTTCAGCTTTACCTCACATCATTGTGCCTGGATGACTGACTCTACACACACATTACTCTCCCCCCCACTGTAGCCTACAGTTGCTCTGTGTGTGTACGCCCAGTCCTGTCCTGGCTCTGTGGTCCAGTGCAGGATGAGGCTCTTTCCTTCACTCATACTCAGACATCCTGTTCTCAGTCTGGTTTTCTGACGTTCTCTCTCTAACCTATCTTCCAGTCTGTCAGGCTGTCCTCTTGCTGATAAATCACTTCGGACCCTCATGGCTGCCCACACAGCTGAACTAAAGTATGTCTGCTTTCTCCTGTCTCTCACCTCCAACATGTTCACTGAGCACTCAGTCTGCAGCTACAGCTCTGTCCCTGCTTCCTTTTAACAATACTATCAAATACTCAAAATCAATCATAGTTAAGTCCAATATTGAAAAATCAAACCCAAAACAATGAGTCCTAATTTTTTACTGAGAAAAACGTGGTTTCTGCCTGAAGTGTGCTGATAATGTTAGCATGTGGAGTGAAAGAGAGTGTCTGTGTGTGTATCAGGTGTCCGACTCCAGGGTGTGACGGATCGGGCCACATCACAGGAAACTATGCCTCTCACAGAAGGTAAATATCTACTCTGTCACACACACACACACATACACACACACACACACACACACTCAGTTTGTTTTGGGTTTTCGTGGTACATGTCCAATAGTTGATGTAATTTTCTTTTTCTTTAGCTATGATTTGGTTGGGCCAGATTGTGTGAGGGCTGTCCTGAGGCCTTGTCCTGTTAGAGGAGGTGAGCCTCAGGACCAGCTGGTTGAGGGGACTCCTCTCAATGGAGGGCTTTGTAATGGTAGGAGTTGGGATCACTGGTTTTTAGGTGGTTGTAGAATTTGACTGCTCTTGTATCCTAATTTAAAGGGGGTATTGGCCTAGCTCAGCTCGGCATCCATTGTTGGGGGTGTTCCTGTGGACTCTCAGGATGCTCTTGCATATCTCAGCATGTAGGGTTTCTATTGCGATAGATTGGGTCTCTCTCTCTCTATATCTATTTATCTATCTCCCTCTCTCTCTCTCTCTATCTCCCTCTCTCTATCTATGTATCTATCTCTCTCTCCATCTATGTCTCTCTCTATCTCCCTCTCTCTCTCTCCTTCTCTCTCTATCTATCTCTCTCTATATATATATATATATATATATATATCTCTATCTTTGTCTCTCTCTCTATCTCTCTCTCTCTATCTCCCTCTCTCTCTATCTCCCTCTCTCTCTCAATTCAATTTCAATTCAATATGCTTTATTGGTATGAATGTCAGGTGAACAATATTGCCAAAGCGTCAAGGATATATGATAAGGAAAAAAAATACAAATACAATTCATTCATTAAACAATTTACAACAATATATTACAAAACCTCAAGTATCAAATGTAAAAAGAAAGAAAGAGAA